TATCAAGTATATATATTTAAAATTTTATATGAATTAAATAAATATTCATTGAATATAAGCAAAAATAGTAATTATGGTTTTTTTGTAACGCACTGTAAATTTTTTATCAGAAAAATAAATCCGACGACGCTAATGTAGAACTGTGTAAACGTTACTTCCGTGACAGCCCGCGTATTTTGTTTGATACATACTACATGTATCAAGTCTCATTGACAATAAATTTTTCTCGATCATCATGTTAATTTTTTTCTCATAACCAATAAATTTTTCTCGATCATCATGTTAATTTTTTTCTCATAACCAATAAATTTTTTATCAGCAAAATAAATCCTAGAATATAAAAATAGTACTAACCAGAAATGTTGCGGATATATTTTTACATACATGTATATGTATAACCCTGGGACCTGCATGAATTATTATGAAAAATAATATTTTAAGAATTAACCGTGTAGATATTATTGAGTCTCATTTGACAATGAAATTATTATCTTTATGTATAAAAACTCACATTATTGAATTAACCGTGTAAAATGTTGTTTCTGTGACGGCCCGCATACTTCGTTTAATCTTATCAAGTCTCTCATTCGACAATGAAGTTATTATCGATATGCATAAAAATAATAAATTATAACATAAATGAGAAAACTAAAATATATTGCTATTAAATCTCTTCCAGACGTTGAAAAATCCTAATACATGAAAAACATATAAATAAATACGGAATTTGTAACTTATCCAATTTTATATTCATTAATATCTGGCATTTCTAAATTATTCTATTCAACATGGCAACGTATTGGATCTACTCATCAAATGAGCTTGTTGACCTTGTTCTCACTGCAAAATTGCTCTCAAATACAGAAGTAACTTTGGAGGATAGGGATCTAACTGTAAATAAAGAATTATCTGATTTTATTATAAGTTCAAAAAGTCTAAATTTTATAACTAAAATTTTATGTTCTATAAATAGTATGATCCTGAAGTATTATGGAGATCTGAGGACAGTTGTATAATTTCTGAATATAATGGAAAAGCATTATCGGTATCAGAAGATGGTAGTATTCGAAAGCGTATTTTTAAATTTTATCAATAATAATAATGACATTTAACTATCTTTTTGATTTAATTTTATTCCATATTATTATATTACTTTGTATAAGGGTCAAGATTAGTACTGACACTTAAGGAGTTAGCTCCAAGATGGCGCTATGATCGTAATACTTCAGTAATTTCATGTGAACAGTATGTTGGTGCATTGACTGTAATGGTAAATATTTGATATTTAATCTTCTTTCTGAATATACTCTTTTTATTAATTGATTAATTATTATTTCAACTGGACATAGCAAGATGAAAATAAACAGCCTTATCCTGCATTAGTACCTCGCGGAAATAGTTTACGCCAGAATTTTGATGTGTCAATAGCCAAGCCTTCCGCTAATATTTAGATAGCACAAATTAAAATTTAACACCACGTTAATTGTGCTTTAATTTTCAATTTTTAAGATAGATTTCTCTGTCAGATAAAAAAACATCCATTACTCATTATTGTTATCCAAACAAGCAAGTCATAATTTTATTTGAAGTTCATGTTCGGTTTAGAGATGGACATACCGATACTGCATGATAGCATGCATGCACGATATACATGTACACGTACATGTACCATAAACTCAAAAATCTATATTAAAGTTCACACCGATATGTGCATGTATAAATATGCAAATAAGCTTTTGACCGCTACCGCATACATAATTGTACATGTATAACGTTTTGTTTTACATGTACAGTACCCACAGAAAGTATCGCCCGATGCAAAATTAAATAAAATTTATTTAATATTTAATTGGCCCTCTATTTGACTCCAATACTGATTAATTCTTCGTGAAATTGATGCAGTAACCCGTTCTAAAATGGCCACATCAAATTTTTCCCACTACATCTTTGGTGCAATCTTAAGTTCGTCCATAGTCGTCGGAAAGTTCTCATTTTTTTGAATATCGTCCTTTAATATCTTTCTATTTGTTTCAGGTCTGGGGAATTCGCCGGCCAATTAATAATCACGATTTTATTTTCCCTTGTTTTTCCCGCAGTATGTATC